CGGGTTGTACAGGCAAGCGGGTTGTACAGGCAAGCGGGTTGTACAGGCAAGCGGGTTGTACAGGCAAGCGGGCTGTACAGGCAAGCGGGTTGTACAGGCAAGCGGGTTGTACAGGCAAGCGGGTTGTACAGGCAAGCGGGTTGTACAGGCAAGCGGGTTGTACAGGCAAGCGGGTTGTACAGGCAAGCGGGTTGTACAGGCAAGCGGGTTGTACAGGCAAGCGGGTTGTACAGGCAAGCGGGTTGTACAGGCAAGCGGGTTGTACAGGCAAGCGGGTTGTACAGGCAAGCGGGTTGTACAGGCAAGCGGGTTGTACAGGCAAGCGGGTTGTACAGGCAAGCGGGTTGTACAGGCAAGCGGGTTGTACAGGCAAGCGGGTTGTACAGGCAAGCGGGTTGTACAGGCAAGCGGGTTGTACAGGCAAGCGGGTTGTACAGGCAAGCGGGTTGTACAGGCAAGCGGGTTGTACAGGCAAGCGGGTTGTACAGGCAAGCGGGTTGTACAGGCAAGCGGGTTGTACAGGCAAGCGGGTTGTACAGGCAAGCGGGTTGTACAGGCAAGCGGGTTGTACAGGCAAGCGGGTTGTACAGGCAAGCGGGTTGTACAGGCAAGCGGGTTGTACAGGCAAGCGGGTTGTACAGGCAAGCGGGTTGTACAGGCAAGCGGGTTGTACAGGCAAGCGGGTTGTACAGGCAAGCGGGTTGTACAGGCAAGCGGGTTGTACAGGCAAGCGGGTTGTACAGGCAAGCGGGTTGTACAGGCAAGCGGGTTGTACAGGCAAGCGGGTTGTACAGGCAAGCGGGTTGTACAGGCAAGCGGGTTGTACAGGCAAGCGGGTTGTACAGGCAAGCGGGTTGTACAGGCAAGCGGGTTGTACAGGCAAGCGGGTTGTACAGGCAAGCGGGTTGTACAGGCAAGCGGGTTGTACAGGCAAGCGGGTTGTACAGGCAAGCGGGTTGTACAGGCAAGCGGGTTGTACAGGCAAGCGGGTTGTACAGGCAAGCGGGTTGTACAGGCAAGCGGGTTGTACAGGCAAGCGGGTTGTACAGGCAAGCGGGTTGTACAGGCAAGCGGGTTGTACAGGCAAGCGGGTTGTACAGGCAAGCGGGTTGTACAGGCAAGCGGGTTGTACAGGCAAGCGGGTTGTACAGGCAAGCGGGTTGTACAGGCAAGCGGGTTGTACAGGCAAGCGGGTTGTACAGGCAAGCGGGTTGTACAGGCAAGCGGGTTGTACAGGCAAGCGGGTTGTACAGGCAAGCGGGTTGTACAGGCAAGCGGGTTGTACAGGCAAGCGGGTTGTACAGGCAAGCGGGTTGTACAGGCAAGCGGGTTGTACAGGCAAGCGGGTTGTACAGGCAAGCGGGTTGTACAGGCAAGCGGGTTGTACAGGCAAGCGGGTTGTACAGGCAAGCGGGTTGTACAGGCAAGCGGGTTGTACAGGCAAGCGGGTTGTACAGGCAAGCGGGTTGTACAGGCAAGCGGGTTGTACAGGCAAGCGGGTTGTACAGGCAAGCGGGTTGTACAGGCAAGCGGGTTGTACAGGCAAGCGGGTTGTACAGGCAAGCGGGTTGTACAGGCAAGCGGGTTGTACAGGCAAGCGGGTTGTACAGGCAAGCGGGTTGTACAGGCAAGCGGGTTGTACAGGCAAGCGGGTTGTACAGGCAAGCGGGTTGTACAGGCAAGCGGGTTGTACAGGCAAGCGGGTTGTACAGGCAAGCGGGTTGTACAGGCAAGCGGGTTGTACAGGCAAGCGGGTTGTACAGGCAAGCGGGTTGTACAGGCAAGCGGGTTGTACAGGCAAGCGGGTTGTACAGGCAAGCGGGTTGTACAGGCAAGCGGGTTGTACAGGCAAGCGGGTTGTACAGGCAAGCGGGTTGTACAGGCAAGCGGGTTGTACAGGCAAGCGGGTTGTACAGGCAAGCGGGTTGTACAGGCAAGCGGGTTGTACAGGCAAGCGGGTTGTACAGGCAAGCGGGTTGTACAGGCAAGCGGGTTGTACAGGCAAGCGGGTTGTACAGGCAAGCGGGTTGTACAGGCAAGCGGGTTGTACAGGCAAGCGGGTTGTACAGGCAAGCGGGTTGTACAGGCAAGCGGGTTGTACAGGCAAGCGGGTTGTACAGGCAAGCGGGTTGTACAGGCAAGCGGGTTGTACAGGCAAGCGGGTTGTACAGGCAAGCGGGTTGTACAGGCAAGCGGGTTGTACAGGCAAGCCGGTTGTACAGGCAAGCGGGTTGTACAGGCAAGCGGGTTGTACAGGCAAGCGGGCTGTACAGGCAAGCGGGTTGTACAGGCAAGCGGGTTGTACAGGCAAGCGGGTTGTACAGGCAAGCGGGTTGTACAGGCAAGCGGGTTGTACAGGCAAGCGGGTTGTACAGGCAAGCGGGTTGTACAGGCAAGCGGGTTGTACAGGCAAGCGGGTTGTACAGGCAAGCGGGTTGTACAGGCAAGCGGGTTGTACAGGCAAGCGGGTTGTACAGGCAAGCGGGTTGTACAGGCAAGCGGGTTGTACAGGCAAGCGGGTTGTACAGGCAAGCGGGTTGTACAGGCAAGCGGGTTGTACAGGCAAGCGGGTTGTACAGGCAAGCGGGTTGTACAGGCAAGCGGGTTGTACAGGCAAGCGGGTTGTACAGGCAAGCGGGTTGTACAGGCAAGCGGGTTGTACAGGCAAGCGGGTTGTACAGGCAAGCGGGTTGTACAGGCAAGCGGGTTGTACAGGAAAGCGGGTTGTACAGGAAAGCGGGTTGTACAGGCAAGCGGGTTGTACAGGCAAGCGGGTTGTACAGGCAAGCGGGTTGTACAGGCAAGCGGGTTGTACAGGCAAGCGGGTTGTACAGGCAAGCGGGTTGTACAGGCAAGCGGGTTGTACAGGCAAGCGGGTTGTACAGGCAAGCGGGTTGTACAGGCAAGCGGGTTGTACAGGCAAGCGGGTTGTACAGGCAAGCGGGTTGTACAGGCAAGCGGGTTGTACAGGCAAGCGGGTTGTACAGGCAAGCGGGTTGTACAGGCAAGCGGGTTGTACAGGCAAGCGGGTTGTACAGGCAAGCGGGTTGTACAGGCAAGCGGGTTGTACAGGCAAGCGGGTTGTACAGGCAAGCGGGTTGTACAGGCAAGCGGGTTGTACAGGCAAGCGGGTTGTACAGGCAAGCGGGTTGTACAGGCAAGCGGGTTGTACAGGCAAGCGGGTTGTACAGGCAAGCGGGTTGTACAGGCAAGCGGGTTGTACAGGCAAGCGGGTTGTACAGGCAAGCGGGTTGTACAGGCAAGCGGGTTGTACAGGCAAGCGGGTTGTACAGGCAAGCGGGTTGTACAGGCAAGCGGGTTGTACAGGCAAGCGGGTTGTACAGGCAAGCGGGTTGTACAGGCAAGCGGGTTGTACAGGCAAGCGGGTTGTACAGGCAAGCGGGTTGTACAGGCAAGCGGGTTGTACAGGCAAGCGGGTTGTACAGGCAAGCGGGTTGTACAGGCAAGCGGGTTGTACAGGCAAGCGGGTTGTACAGGCAAGCGGGTTGTACAGGCAAGCGGTTGTACAGGCAAGCGGGTTGTACAGGCAAGCGGGTTGTACAGGCAAGCGGGTTGTACAGGCAAGCGGTTGTACAGGCAAGCGGTTGTACAGGCAAGCGGGTTGTACAGGCAAGCGGGTTGTACAGGCAAGCGGGTTGTACAGGCAAGCGGGTTGTACAGGCAAGCGGGTTGTACAGGCAAGCGGGTTGTACAGGCAAGCGGGTTGTACAGGCAAGCGGGTTGTACAGGCAAGCGGGTTGTAAAGGCAAGCGGGTTGTACAGGCAAGCGGGTTGTACAGGCAAGCGGGTTGTACAGGCAAGCGGGTTGTACAGGCAAGCGGGTTGTACAGGCAAGCGGGTTGTACAGGCAAGCGGGTTGTACAGGCCTCTTGCTGTTCCTTTCTCCCGCAATTCAGCGTCTCACCATTCCCTACAATTCAGCGTCTCACCATTCCCTACAATTCAGCGTCTCACCATTCCCTACTATTCAGCGTCTCACCATTCCCTACAATTCAGGGTCACCATTCCCTACAATTCAGCGTCTCACCATTCCCTACAATTCAGCGTCTCACCATTCCCTACAATTCAGCGTCTCACCATTCCCTACAATTCAGCGTCTCACCATTCCCTACAATTCAGCGTCTCACCATTCCCTACAATTCAGCGTCTCACCATTCCCTACTATTCAGCGTCTCACCATTCCCTACAATTCAGGGTCTCACCATTCCCTACAATTCAGCGTCTCACCATTCCCTACAATTCAGCGTCTCACCATTCCCTACAATTCAGCGTCTCACCATTCCCTACAATTCAGCGTCTCACCATTCCCTACAATTCAGCGTCTCACCATTCCCTACCCCCAGATGGCGATAACCCATAGCCAGGAGCCCTATGCGCAGCTGATCATGGGGTATGCACAGGCGGGCATGTGGGGGGGGGTGGGCGCTGCATCGCAGCATGGGGTATGCACGCCCGGGCGGGCATGAGGGGCAAGGTGCATGCTGCATCGCAGCACCAATGAGCTCCATTGGTGCTCATTGCAGAGCAGAAAGGCCTCACTGCTCCGTTCTCTCTCCCTCCCTTACCCCCAGACGTCAGTACCCATAGCCAGGAGTCCTATGCGCAGCTGATCATGGGTATGCCGGGTGATTTTTGAGTCGACTCAAAAATCATCTGCAGGGGCGGGCATGAGGGGGGAGGTGGAGGCAATCCCCAAACAGCAGCACGATATGTGCAGAAGGGTCTTACTGCTCGTCTCTCGCTCTTCATTCGTCCCTAACCCCTTACCCTACCTGACCTGCCCCCAGATGTCGATACCTCACAGCAAAGAGTCCTATGCGCAGCTGATGATGGGGTATGCATGGGCGGCGTGGTTTATTTTGAGTCGACTCAAAATACACATGGGGTATGCATGGGCGGCGTGGGCATGAGGGGGTAGGTGCGCGCTGCATCGCAGAAACACCTCAATGCTCCTCTCTCTCCCCCTCCCTTTTCCCCAGATGTCGATACCCCATAGTGAGGAGTCGTACGCGCAGCTGATCATGGGGTATGCACGGGCGGGCATGTGGGGGGAGGTGGAGGGGATAGAGGCAGAGATGGAGGAGGAGGCCAGGCGAGGGAGGAGCAGCGTTACTGCTGCTGCTGCTGCGCTGGTGCTGATGCTGCTGCTGCTGCCGCTGCTGGTGCTGATGCTGCTGCTGTCGTGCTCATGCTGGTGCTGCTGTTGGTGTCGGTGCCAGTGCTGGTTTTGGCACTGGTGCTTTTGCCTCACTTGGTGACGATGTCGACATTGATATTGTGCCGGCCGCAGCGAGGGACAGTGTGGCGGTGTGCAACGCGCTGGTGGTGGCGTATGGCAGGGCGGCAGGATGGCGCAGATGGAGATGGTGGTGAATAGGCTACGCGTGCTGTCACCAGATGGCACGCTGAAACTGGTGAGTTGTGGGGCGTGGTAGAGCATGAATGCATGCAGAGAAGTATGCATGGGAGGCCTGGGGTGATGGGAGGGCGGGCAGGATGGGGCAGAAGGAGATGGTGGTGGATAGGCTCAGGGTGCTGTCCCCAGAGGGCACGCTAAAACTGGTGAGCTAAGCGCGTGACTGTTGGGAATGCATGGGGCTTGTGGCATAGCAGGTATGGAGGGCGGGCAGACAGTGTGGTGGAAGATGAGAGGGTGGCGAATAGACTGAGAGGGCGCTGGCACCCAATGGCACGCTGAATCTGGTGAGCTGAGCGCGTGACTGTAGGGAGTGCATGAGGGCTTGTGGCATAGCAGGTATGGGATGGGAGGGCGGGCACGATGGGCGGATGGAGATGGTGGTGAATAGGCTCACGGTGCTGTCGCTGCGCTGTCCCCTGCCGATCCTTGTCTCCCGTGCCTGCACTGCACCCACACCCATCCCTCGTCTCCCGTGCATGCACCCACCACACCTATCCCTCGTCTCCCGTGCATGCACCCACCACACCCATCCCTCGTCTCCCGTGCCTGCACCCACCACACCCATCCCTCGTCTCCCATGCCTGCACCCACCACACCCATCCCTCGTCTCCCGTGCCTGCACCCACCACACCCATCCCTCGTCTCCCGTGCCTGCACCACCACACCCATCCCTCGTCTCCCATGCCTGCACCCACCACACCCATCCCTCGTCTCCCATGCCTGCACCCACCACACCCATCCTCGTCTCCCGTGCCTGCACCCACCACACCCATCCCTCGTCTCCCGTGCCTGCACCCACCACACCCATCCCTCGTCTCCCGTGCCTGCACCCACCACACCCATCCTCGTCTTCCAGGAGTCGTACAACACCCTCTTGGAAGTGTATGCCCGTCGCTGCGGCCCGCGATTCGAGGAAACGAGGCAGACACAGAGCCCCTTCTCCCCTGCCGCCGCTGCTGCTGCTGCTGGTGCTGCTGGTTCGATTGGCAGTAAGAAAATTGAGCCGACAGTGGCGAGGGTGGTGGTGGTGGTGGCAAGACAGGGAATGCAAGAGCACGAAAGCGGAGGAGGCGAGGAGAAGTGGAGCAACGGTCACCCAGAAAGAGGATGATGCGGCAATGGAGAAACAAAAGGAGGAAGATGAGGAAGAGGAGGAAGCTGAAAAAACGGCAGAGGGCTATGTGGAAAGGGATTTGGAGGAGGAGCAGGAGGGAGGGGAGGAGGAGGAAGAGGAGGAGGAGGTGAG